AGTAGCAGTAGTAGTAGTAGCGGTAGTAGTAGTAGTAGTTGTTGTAGTACTTTGTAATACTTTGTAGTATTAGTAGTATTAGTAGTTTTAATAGTATTAGTAGTATGAGTAGTATGAGTAGTATTAGTAGTATTAGTTGTAGTAGAAGAGGAAGAAGTAGCAGTAGTAGCAGTAGTAGCAGTAGTAGCAGAAGCAGTAGCAGCAGCAGTAGTGATAGTGGTAGTAGTAGCAGTAGTAGTAGTAGCAGTAGTATTAGCAGTAGTATTAGCAGCAGTAGTAGTAGCAGTAGTAAAAAGTGCCACATTGCAAAAACATATTTGCGAGGTGGATGAGGAAAGATCAGGCAATGTTGATGTAGTTGTTGAATCAATTCATTGCTTAATTGATTGCAATCTGAAGCACGCATATAAAAAAAATCATCGCGGCTGGCTGGGGTTTACTAATTGGGGGGGGGCGTCCTTTTATTTGTGGGGGGGACACCGCTCAAGGGGGGTAGCCTTTCTGAGCTCCCAAAAACAGCATTTTTTAATTAAATTTTAATTAGAAATCGATCATTTGGGGGATGCGGTTTTTTTTCAGTATTGGCGTCTTGAAACTGGCACATTGCAAAAGTATATTATACTTGCGAGGTGGATGAGGAAAGATCAGGCAATGTTGATGTAGTTGTTGAATCAATTCATTGCTTAATTGATTGCAATCTGAAGCACGCATACAAAAAAAATTCATCGCGGCTGGCTGGGGTTTACTAATTGGGGGGGGCGTCCTTTTATTTGTGGGGGGACACCGCCCAAGGGGGGTAGCCTTTCTGAGCTCCCAAAAACAGCATTTTTTAATTAAATTTTAATTAGAAATCGATCATTTGGGGGATGCGTTTTTTTTTCCAGTTTTGGCGTCTTGAAAGCCACATTGCAAAAATATATTTGCGAGGTGGATGAGGAAAGATCAGGCAATGTTGATGTAGTTGTTGAATCAATTCATTGCTTAATTGATTGCAATCTGAAGCACCGCATATAAAAAAGTCATCGCGGCTGGCTGGGGTTTACTAATTGGGGGGGGCTCCTTTTATTTGTGGGGGGGACACCGCTCAAGGGGGGTAGCCTTTCTGAGCTCCCAAAAACAGCATTTTTTAATTAGATTTTAATTAGAAATCGATCATTTGGGGGATGCGTTTTATTTTCCAGTTTTGGCGTCTTGAAATTGCCACATTGCAAACATATATTGTCCTTGCGAGGTGGATGAGGAAAGATCAGGCAATGTTGATATAGTTGTTGAACTAATTCATTGCTTAATTGATTGCAGTCTGAAGCACGCATATAAAAAAATTCATCGCGGCTGGCTGGGGTTTACTAATTGCGGGGGGCGTCCTTTTATTTGTGGGGGGGACACCGCTCAAGGGGGGTAGCCTTTCTGAGCTCCCAAAAACAGCATTTTTTAATCCTTTTTAATTAGAAATCGATCATTTGGGGGATGCGTTTTTTTTTCCAGTTTTGGCGTCTTGAAACTGCCACATTGCAAGCGTATATTAAACTTGCGAGGTGGATGAGGAAAGATCAGGCAATGTTGATGTAGTTGGAACAATTAATTGCCCAATTGATGGCAACTTCACAAAAAACATCTGAAACCAGTCTGTTTGGCAATAGTGCGGCTTTGACCTACGGAAAGCACAACTCTTGCAATGACAGAAAGCCACTGGAAGTAATGAGAGGCAATGTCCAGAAGCAGGCAAACGTAGCTAACATAACAGCAAGACATTGGCAGAGAAAGGCGCACAACACACAAGCATTCAAGCCAGCTGTGTGCCACCCCCGGCTGCAAGACGCACCCTCCGGGAATCGAACCTGGGTCCATTGGCCCAGAGCCTATTCAATACCACTATGCCACGGGGGCTTGCCCTAAATGGCAAAAAATTGCTTTATAGAACCACTGACTGGGCCTGGAAGGGGTTTGCCGGAATCAAAAACACAATGCGCAACACCCCCCTAACCCCCCAACCAAACCCGCAGCCAAACCCCCAAACAACCCCCCCAATTAATGAAACCCCCCCAAATAACCCTCCCCAACCCTTTGGTAGTCGCCTCCAGCTCACGAAAGGCTCTTGCAACGATAAAAAGCCACCTTTTCCCATCATCATGAGCCAAAAAACCTCTGAAACCAGTGTGTTTGGCAATAGCGCGGCTTCGACCTAATGAAAGCGCAGCTCTTGCAATGAAAGAGAGTCACCTCTTCCCAACATGATGAGCCAACCCACAAAAAACATCTGAAACCAGTGTGTTTGGCAATAGCGCGGCTTCGACCTAATGAAAGCACAGCTCTTGCAATGAAAGAGAGTCATCTCTTCCCAACATGATGAGCCAACCCACAAAAAACGTCTGAAACCAGTGTGTTTGGCAATAGTGCGGCTTCGACCCCCTGAAAGCACAGCCCTTGCACTGATAGAGGGTGCCTTCAAGATGCCCTCTTAATTTTGGTTGTGGCTTATCCGGATTCACTTGTATATGTGCATATCAAATTACGTCGTCGTCGTAGTAGTAGTAGTAGCCGTAGTAGCAGTAGCAGCAGTAGCAGTAGTAGTAGCAGTAGTAACAGCAGTAGAAGCAGCAGCAGCAGCAGCAACAGCACCAGTAGTAGTAGTAGTAGTAGTAGTAGTAGTAGTAGTAGTAATAGTAGTAGTAGTAGTAGTGGTAGTAGTAGCAGTAGTTAAAAAAGTGCCACGTTGCAAGAGCATATTTGCGAGGTGGATGAGGAAAGATCAGATTCCTATGAGAAAAGATAAGCAAACCTATGGTAAACCATCAGATTCCTATGAGGGAAGATTCGAAAATGAATGGTAAACCATGAGATTCCTATGAGAAAAGATCAGAAAACCTATGGTAAACCATCAAATTCTTATGAGAAAAGATTAGAAAACCTATGGTAAACCATCAAATTCCTATGAGGGAAGATGAGGAAACCACGTAGAACCATCAAATTCCTATGAGGGAAGATTCGAAAATGAATGGTAAGCCATGAGATTCCTATGAGAAAAGTTCAGAAAACCTATGGTAAACCATCAAATTCTTATGAGAAAAGATAGGAAAACTTATGGTTAACCATCAAATTCCTTTGAGGGAAGTTGAGGAAACCACGTAGAAACCATCAAATTCCTATGAGGAAAGATTCGAAAATGAATGGTAAACCATGAGATTCCTATGAGAAAAGTTCAGAAAACCTATGGTAAACCATCAAATTCTTATGAGAAAAGATAGGAAAACCTATGGTTAACCATCAAATTCCTTTGAGGGAAGATGAGGAAACCACGTAGAAACCATCAAATTCCTATGAGGAAAGATTCGAAAATGAATGGTAAACCATGAGATTCCTATGAGAAAAGTTCAGAAAACGTATGGTAAACCATCAAATTCCTATGAGGGAAGAAGATTCGAAAATGAATGGTAAACCATGAGATTCCTATGAGAAAAGATGAGAAAAAACTATGGTAAACCATCAAATTCCAATGAGAAAAGATCAGAAAACCTTTGGTAAACCATCTGAGGGAAGATGAGGAAACCACGTAGAAACCATCAAATTCCTATGAGGGAAGATTCGAAAATGAATGGTAAACCATCAGATTCCAATGAGAAAAGATAAGAATACCTATGGTAAACCATCAAATTCTTATGAGAAAAGATAGGAAAACCTATGGTTAACCATCAAATTCCTTTGAGGGAAGTTGAGGAAACCACGTAGAAACCATCAAATTGCTATGAGGAAAGATTCGAAAATGAATGGTAAACCATGAGATTCCTATGAGAAAAGTTCAGAAAACCTATGGTAAACCATCAAATTCTTATGAGAAAAGATAGGAAAACCTATGGTTAACCATCAAATTCCTTTGAGGGAAGTTGAGGAAACCACGTAGAAACCATCAAATTCCTATGAGGAAAGATTCGAAAATGAATGGTAAACCATGAGATTCCTATGAGAAAAGTTCAGAAAACGTATGGTAAACCATCAAATTCCTATGAGGGAAGATTCGAAAATGAATGGTAAACTATGAGATTCCTATGAGAAAAGATGAGAAAAACTATGGTAAACCATCAAATTCCAATGAGAAAAGATCAGAAAACCTTTGGTAAACCATCTGAGGGAAGATGAGGAAACCACGTAGAAACCATCAAATTCCTATGAGGGAAGATTCGAAAATGAATGGTAAACCATCAGATTCCAATGAGAAAAGATAAGAATACCTATGGTAAACCAAAATAGGAAGTAACCCTGGAAATTGTAACCCGAATTATAAAGTAAAAGGGAGTAATAGCAAATTAGTCCCACCAAAAATTTGGGGATCCCGGAGGGGCTTGATTAATTGGGGGGTGTTTCAGTGTTATTAGGGGGGGAAATCAGCACGTAGAGGACTTTAGTATTGCCCCAAAATTTCCGGTGAAAACGCGCTTGATTAATTTGGGGGCTTTATTAATCCTACCTCAACATTATATATATATAATATATATATATAATATATATATAATATAATATATATATAATCAATGTGTATATAATATATATATATATGGGTTATAAACAGCTTACGAAGTGGGTCCCACACATCCTGGTCGCACCGCAATCGCAGGAGATGGAACAGAACGTCAAGGCAGCACAGGCCTGGCGGCCTGCAGTGCCTGCTGTGGGTCCCCCCAGTGATGTGTGTTGATTAATAAGCCCCATTAATATTAATAGTTGTAAGTAATGGGGGTTATTGATGGAGTATTAACGGGGGTTATTAATCAACACACATCACTGGGGTTATTAATCAACACTATTGCTGTAAGTAATGTAGATTAATCATGAACCTAAAGTTATTGGAGCTATGTTCACCAACCAATTGTGATTTCGTAAATGGATGCCCCACTTGATACGTTGAGACTTGGCCATCTTGCATGGAAGGTTTGGATTGGGTTCCTCAAAGCCACCGGCCCCAAAACTACCTAAAGTATTCAAGTTGCTTTGATTAGTTGAAACAAAATGTACATAGTATGAACACAGGTCACCACATCTTGTCCAGTCCAGAAGATCTTCCCTGAACCTTTTTTGGCCGGCTTGAAATTTGAGAAGTTTGTGTATAAGTTTGAAATTGTTGCTGATATGTTCGAGTCGACTCGAAGACATGAATATCCCAGAGGCTTGCAGCAAGCTATCATCACACTTTTGAGAGGAAATTTAAACAATATTATCTTCTTGAAATCGCAGGGCAAAGACATCATAGCATTTTGTCTTAGCAACACCCCAATGACAAAGCTTGAGAAAGTCTTTGAGTTGATGAAGACACCAGTGAAGGGCAAGACAACTGTGCAGAAGACCGAGTGCTTCAGGCAATGAAGAGGCCGAATTTGGTCTCTTCTATCCGCCAACTGTGCTGATCGCGTCCACAACGAATACGGAGCTGAACTTCGCTTTGACTTGAAGTCCTTTGCCAAGCTGGTGGAAAATGAGCTTGAAAGCCATGGGCGTTTATCCATTTCTGCAGAGACTGAGAAGGCTGAGTGACTCGCTTTTTTTTCATATCCCCAAAATAGATCATTTACATCCATTTGCTATATGAGCTATATTCTCCGGGAAGATTCGATTTTTGGTGAATATTATATATATATATGTATATATATATATACACACATTATATACATTATATATATATGTGTACATTTTTAAGTATCTCTATATATATATATTATACATTATATAATATATATATATATATGTATATATTTATTTAGATATGTGGAGGATTTCACCCCATGGCATGATCCGACGCCAGGCTGCCTGCTTGAGGGACAGCCGTCAAAGCTCTGGACGCTTGAAGTCCCTGGAGGCCGTGGGTGGCACCGTTTTGGTCGGAAATCAAATTGGTGAACCTTACTCTCCACTAGGTCAATCATCCACTAGGTTATTTTGCCACGGAAAATCACCATTTTTAATAGGTTTAATTAATAGGTAAACCATCTATAAATGGGCCATTCTAAATATCTAGGTCAATCTTACATGGATACAAACTAATCCTTTAGTCTTTTGGTATGAATGGGAATATCTACGTTCACCAGCAAAGAATTTAATTTTTTGCAGGGTATCTAAGATTGGCAATGTCAACAACAAAAACAAATCGGGAGTTTTTTACACCAACTTATAGCGGGGGCTCACCTTGTAGTGATGAATAATTAAACCAAATCATGTGTGGTCATGGTAATATGAGTACTGTATAATTATAACTGGTTGGTGGTTTGGAACAGTTGGATTATTTTTCCATATATTGGGAATAGTAACCCCAACTGACTTTCATTTTTTCAGAGGGGTAGGTCAGCCACCAACCAGAAATGGTGTTCTATAATCTGATGCTAGCTAAGTTGGTGAGTAAAAAAAAATCCAATTTCCCTAGAAATGATGCGTAAGTAACTATAGTATTTTTAAGGGGTGAAACTAAACTAACTTAAACCTGGAGGGCCCCACATCGTAGATAAACCAACTGAGGTTTATAGTAGTTTATCGACCAACTTGTAATTGGTCCCACATGAGTAGTTTTCCAAAAATGTGTCTTAAATATCCAAGAAACTTAAATGGAGGTATGTTGTTTTAGCCAGCAAATAGCAAACAGATGGCAACACAAGAAGCGTCAGTCAGATGAGGGACAACCCGGGACCCATCACCATTGTGGTTTCAGACACCTTCTGGTGATCAAAGATGGCTAGAAAATCCATCATTTTCAGGGATTTCCCTGTGAAAAGTCTTTGGTTTCGTATTGGATTTGGAAGTTCCCTAAGTCATGGGGGTACCCCACGAGCTGGAGAGTTTATAGTGGACGATCACCAAAAACAAATGGATGATTTGGGGGTAGCCCATGGATTGGAAACCTCCATTTGGTTGGATCTTGGATAACGATGGTTTAACATAGATATTTCTAACATGTTCAAAGCCATAATTGGTTACTATATTGTTCATAGTTATAGGTCAACCATGGTTATATCAGGTTTATATATGGTCAACCATGGTTAAATATGGTTATATATTGTTCATTTTATGAACCCTCAGGGTATTCGGGGTTTTCTTTACATTTGTGATGGAATGTGGATGAAATCATGGTGTCAATTTCAAAATTTCCCACGCTAAGTTGGTACACCCCATACACAGGCCCCCAAACGATAGCTAAGTTGGTGAACATAATTCCAATAGTTATTGTTTCTGATATACCTAGACCATCTTAGAACTATAGTAATACTATAGTAACTATAATCTATAGTAGTCATGCATTCATTCATGGGGTGAGTCTAAACCAACATGCCCCACGAACTGTAGTTTTTTTGCCCTGCTGGGTCCTGTTCGCAGGCGGAAGCTGCATCTCTCCGTAGAGCACTGGAGGCTTAACAATGCACCAGTGTACTGCCAAACGCATGATTTTCACTAGCAAAAGTTGCTTCATGTAATGGTGTTTAGATATGTGATATGGGATTTTAATGATCGATAAACAAATATATATATATATATATAACATAAATATGTTTATATATATATATAACATATATATATATATTATATAATATATAATAAATATAATATATAATATATATAATATATATAATATATATATAATATATAATATATATATAATATGTATATAATATTTAACATATATAACATATATAACATATAATATATATATATATATGTATAATATACAATATATATAATATAATATTTATTTATATAAAAATTATATGTATAATTTAATATTATATTTAATATAATATTTTTAAATAAATATAATATAATAAATATAATATAATAAAAAAATATAATATAATATAATATATATATATAGTATAATGTAATATAATATAAAATAATATTATATAATAACATATAATACAATATAATATGGTATAATATAATATAATATAATATTATATAATATTATATAATATTATATAATATATATATATATATATATATTATGTATATATATTATATTTAACGTTTTTTTTTATTATTTATTTAATATATAATATATAAAATATAATATTTAATATATAATATATATAATATATATTAATAATATATAATATATAATATATAATATATAATTTAAAAAACATATATATATATAATATTTAACATATGCATAATATATACATAATATATATATAATATTATATATAATATTTATATTTAGGAATGGTGTTTATATGGGATTATAACGGTATATCATGGGATATGAGCCTATGGCTCCACACACGTGAGATGGTGAGACGGCCATTTCAGGGACCGATGTATTGGAGGTAGCTACCATATATAAGGTTTATTTTCAGGGCTCTTTTCAGGGGAATATACCATAATATAGCCCTGAAATATATGGCTTTGTATGGACATTCCCACTGAAACATATTTCGAACTGGATCCATGGGGGCGACCCTGACATGAGATACACTAGAGTCACTAGAGTCACTTGGAACCTATATTTAAGGCCATGCGGACTGCGAATACTGCGAATACAAAAAGGAGTCTCATCTTCCAGGCTTTTTTTTGGTTATTGCAAGCTTTGGTGGTCTATGTTGAGTGATGTTGGGGCTACTGATCCGCGAAAAATGGCTTCTAACTACCAACAAAAGGGCTATTGTATGTTTTCTTTCCAGAAAAACCTTGGAGCCAAAGAGCCGGAAAGGGAGAGAGAGAGAGAGAGTGAGAAGACAAAACATATCATAGTGACTTCTTGAACTGCAAGCTGCAGTCCTGCGGAAATGTCTCCTTCAACTACACATCAACCATCCAGGGTGGGCCAGAAATTTCTCTAGCCCATTGGATGATGTGGGATAGCTCGCAGTTACGAGTTGTTTTTGTTTGCCAATGCCAGGACGAAAAAACAAGAACGATGAGTCCAACATTGGGAGATTTGCAGTGTTCGTCAGATGTTTGTTCTTGAGATACTGATCTTTAGCGTTTTTTTTTCGACCAGAAGAATAGACTTTTTATCACTCTTTATTTGATTATTGTCATCGAATGACTTGAAATGAATTGGTTATCCCATCCCCATGACCATGTTCATCCATGTTCATCAGCCAGGTGTTCATGAATTTCCTCCCGCTTCTCTAAGTGTTTTTCGTCTTGATGCCATATTTGTATGTTTTTTTCATCCAATCTAACAGTATTCAACATCGTACCGTGATACTGTTGTAAATATTAATAGTGTTTTTGGTTAGAAGATGTTAGAAGCCAATATAGGCGAATATACTAACTATTACTACTAGCATATATTAACTTTCAACTATATATATATATACATATTATATATACATATTTCAATTTATCATATATTATATCAGGGTTATTGTTTGCAACCAAGGTTATAGATCACTTAAAGGATTTGTTTTCTGCCGTTATAACTTGCTATAGCACTGAAGAACTAGAATAGTATTGATTGTTATTATGGTAACGATTAATGATTGACTATTCCAGTAACAACGTTATACTCGTGGCTATTAATTATGGTACTTGGTTGATCCCAGGAATCGTGTTTGTGGATTAGCTCTACTTATCCCATGTATTTCACTGGGGTGAACTAACCCACAAACACGATTCCTGGGATGATCCACCAAGATCCACCAAGTAGTTTTAGCGTCCAGCTCTTCCTCGGGCAGGCTTCACAGCCAGAGGCACTTCCTGCAGCTCCGCCGGCCACAGAGGTCCGAAGAAAGCACCAGGAAAAAGCGCCGCTTCAATGTAGATATATGATTCATATATATATATATGATGTATGATATATATATATCATATATATATACACAATATTAAAACATATACGTATACACATATATATATACATATGTATATGTGATATATGATATCTAGGTCCGCTCTGTATTATTGTTTATATGTTTTGTTTTTATTATTGTTATTATTGGCAGTGTTTTTGTTTAAACATTATATTGTTTATGTTCATGATTTAGTATTTAATATTAGTCTATTCTATATGAGTACATATATATATATATGTGCATGTATGTGATGAAATGTAATGTAATGCAATGCGAGGCAATGCAATGTAATGCAATGTAATGTAATGTAATGTAATGCAATGCAATGCAATGCATGTAGGTACTCGTATGTATCAAATAATTACATATGTCTGCATATTTGATACTAGGTCTAGGTTTAACTGATTGTAAATTATAAAAAATATATATAGATCTCTCTATCTATCTCTATCTCTATCTCTATCTCTATCTCTATCTCTATCTCTATGTCTATCTATCTCTATCTCTATCTCTATCTCTATCTCTATCTCTATCTCTATCTCTATCTCTATCCATCCATCTATCTATCTATCTATCTATTTATCTATCTATCTATTTATCTATCTGTCTATCTATCTAATTAATCTATCTATCTATCTATCCATCCATCTATCTATCTATCCATCTATCTATCTATCTATCTATCTATCTATCTAATTAATCTATCTATCTATCTATTTATCTATCTATCTATCTATCTATCTATATGCCTAATATTTTTTTTGCATACACATTCCGGAGTTCCGTGTATTCAACTCATCTAGATTGCCAATTCTGGTGTTTTGATGTGATTTATTGATTTGATGTGCCTGGAAGCAGGATTAGTTCACTGGGATTGCGAGCCGTATCCGGTGTTTGCCAATCGCCCAAGACCTAGTCCAACCACAGGAATCCAATACACACCTGTATAACACACCTGTATATTTAAAAAGATGCATGTATATATATATATATACATACGTACATTCACACATACATGAGTATGCAACAGTGAATATTATTCAAATGTACATCATCATCATCATCATCATCATCAGTGAGTTCTCACGCCATATCGAATGGTTGGAGACCGCCTGGTAAGTTTTTTGAAGGTTGAAGAGCTGGCATCAAGAGGGTAGCATCAAGAGCAATATGTACATAATCATATATGTATATATATGTGTACATATATATATATATATAGATATATACTTATATACATATATATATATATATTTGTATCTACATATTATATATATATATTGAACATGCTCCACCAGACCCCTGCAGGTCGACCCGCCCGCCTCTGCCTCCGCCGTCCCTTCGGCCGACGTGCCGCCGGATCCGCCGGATACTCCAGAGGCACCGGCGGAGGCGGAGGAGGCGCCAAGGAGCGGGTGAAACGGGTGGGAAAGGAATATGGTGAACCAGTGAACCATAGGATTTAATGGTAATTTAATGGTGATTTAATTGTGATTTAATGGTGATCTAATGGTGATTTAATGGTGATTTATTGGAATTTAACCATGTTGATGGTGATTTTTCATGGTAAATACCTATTAAATTATTCAACAATGGTGATTTTTCATGGGATTTATGGTGATTGAACGGATTTTCATGGTGATTTAATGGCCCCCCCAGTTGTTAGTTTATAAACCCATCTATAATGTAAAAAGTCACGCAGTGGGATTCGTTTTTATGGGGATGAAATCGGGGGATTTCAAGGTGCCCCCGATGTGATTTTTTGTTGGTTTAGAGAAACCCCCATGAATATTATGGGATAATGATGGGATAATGATGGGATAATTATGGGATAATGATGGGATAATGATGGGATAATGATGGGATAATGATGGGATAATGATGGGATAATGATGGGATAATGATGGGATAATGATGGGATAATGATGGGATAATGATGGGATAATGATGGGATAATGATTGGATAATGATGGGATAATGATGGGATAATGATGGGATAATGATGGGATAATGATGGGATAATGATGTTTAATAGGGATGATGATGGGATAATGATGGGATAATGATGGGATAATGATGGGATAATGAGATATTCTGGGATATTCATGGATATACCTTCTGGTAAACTAACAGTTTGCGAACTGGAAAATCACCATCACACTTTCGCACTTTCGCAATAGGTCCACACGACGGCCTCATTGGGCGGGCAGACGTGTTGACCTGCAAATAAAACCCCCAAAGCAGGGACCTCTCTCCGTCTCGACTGGCACCTCGTCGATCACAAGTTCACCTTACGCAGGTCAGTGGTTTTGCTTGCACACGGCAAGAAATTCCCAAACCATTCATCCAGCTTCGTCGTACGTTCGGACGGCACCTGGACTGGCAGTGTTGCTGTCCAAAAAGCAATTATGGAACCACTGGGCGTGGCATGTTGTAGGGGCAAAGTCACATGGCATGCCTTACTCAGCTTATGCATGTATTTCGAAAAGGACCTGGCTCTACGAAGAAATGGGTCAGGTGGCTGTGAAGACCCTGCTTTCCACTGCTTATGGTTAACATGATACCAAGGCCCAAACTGTGGTATGTTGAGATATGCGTCAAGGTAAAGTTGCCACC